GAGAGAGAGAGAGAGAGAGAGAGAGAGAGAGAGAGAGAGAGAGAGAGAGAGAGAGAGAGAGAGAGAGAGAGAGAGAGAGAGAGACTGAACTTGCACCAATGAGACTACAACACATACATACATGAGCTGTGGAGCAACGTGAGCTATGGAGCAACCAGCAGGGAACCGGCACATCACCAAGTAAAAGGAAGACTGAACTTGCACCAATGAGACTATAGCACATACATACATGAGTTATGGAGCAACTAGGAAGGAACCAGCACATCACCAAGTAAGAAAAAGACTTTACTTGTACCAATGAGACTACAACACATACGAACATGAGTTATGGAGCAACTGGGAAGGAACCGGCACATCACAAGTGAGAGAAAGACTGAACTTGGTAAATGAGGCTACAACACATACATACATGAGCTATGGAGCAACTAGGAAAGCACCGCCACACCACCAAGTGAGAGAAAGACTGAACTTGGACACATAGCCCTACAACATACACACACATGAGCTATGAAGCAACTAGGAAGGAACCGGCACATCACCAAGTGAAAGAAAGACTGTACTTGCACCAATGAGACTACACCACATACATACAAGAGCTATGGAGCAACTAGGAAGGAACCGACACATCACCAAGTGAGAGAAAGACTGAACTTGCACCCATGAGACTACAACACATACATACATGATCTATGGAGCAACTAAGAAGGAATCGGCACATCATAAAGTGAGAGAAAGACTGAAATTACACCAATGAGACTACAACAAATACATACGTGAGCTATGGAGCAACTAGGAGGGAACCGGCACATCACCAAGTGAGAGGAAAACTGAACTTGCACCAATGAGACTACAACACATACATACATGAGCTATGGAGAAACTAGGAAGGAACCGACACATCACGAAGTGAGAAAAAGACTCAACTTGCACCACTGAGACGACAACACATACATACATGAGTTGTGGAACAACTAGGAAGGAACCCACATATCACCAAGTGAACACTAATGGTTAATAGGTGGCGTTATTTTTGATGAATTTTTTACCGAAACTGTTATATTTCTCTGAATTTTTGTTTTTTTGCATTAATGACACTACAACACATACATACATGGGTTATGGAGCATATCACCAAGTGAGAGAAAGACTGAACCTGGACAAGTGAGGCTACGACATAACATACATGAGCTATGGGGCAATGAGGAAAGCACCGCCACATCACTAAGTGAGAAAAAGACTGAACTTGGAAAAATGGACGTACAACATACACACACATGAGTTGTGGAGCAACTAGGAAGGAACCGACACATCACCAAGTGAGAGAAAGACTGAACTTGCACTAATGAGACTACAACACATAGTACATGCATGAGCTATGATGTAACTAGGAAGGAACCGACACATCACCAAGTGAGAGATTAACTGAACTTGAACAAGTGAGGCCACAACACATACATACATGAACTATGGAGCAACTAGGAAAGCACCGACACATCACCAAGTGAGAGAAAAACTGAACTTGGACAACTGGACCTACAACATATACATATATGAGTTATGAAACAACTAGGAGTGAACCGGTACATCACCAAGTGGGAGGAAGACTGAACTTGTACCAATGAGACTACATCACACACATATATGAGCTATGGAGCAACTAGGAAGGAACCGGTACATCACCAAGTGAGAGAAAGACTGAACTTGCACCAGTGAGGCTACAACACATACATGTATGAGATGTGGAGCAACTAGGAGTGAACCGGTACATCAACAAGTAAGAGAAAGATTGAACTTGGACAGTTGGACCTACAACATACACACACATGAGCTATGGAGCAACTAGGAAGGAACCAGTACATCACCAAGTGAGGAAGGTGTGTTGCATGTAAGTGAGACTTGATCAAACACATGCTGCCACTCCATGGAGACAGCAGGAATCTTCATTGTGAAGGTTGAGTCCTGCAGGTGAGTGAGACTAACTCAAATACCTGCACAAGACTCATGGAAGCAACCATACTTGAATCGGATCACTACAAAGTGAAAAATCGAACAATGCAAAGGACAAAAATTACCAAGATGCTAGTCTGAGTGAGAATCAATGTAGCGCTTCACCCCCAAATAGAGGGAGGGAGAAAACTTGAGGTGAGAGTGAGTAAAACTCTTTCTCAACCTAGAAATTTCAAAGCTCAAAATGACGATTTGTCAGGGAGTGAAGAAAATGGTCATCATAGAGGCACTACCAATGAAGAAACTACTTCCGATCTCTTCCCTGAAGAAGGATCAGAAGATGATGAGGAAGAAGGAGGACAAGAGGAGAGGGTGAAAAGTAAGCAATAAAGGAGAAAAAGAAAGAAGAAGAACAAGAAGAAGAAAAAGAAAAAGAAGAAGAAGAAGAAGAAGAAGAAGAAGAAGTTTCTCCTCCTTGTCCTCACTCACCTCTCTTTTTTTCTCTTGGTGTTGAAGACCAATGTTGAGGAAACTCCTTCCTCCTCACTTAGCTATGACTCCCTTCTCCCTCAAGCTCTCATCTCCTTCCTTTCTCAACCGTTCTCTGACTATGACAAACTCCAACTCCCAAAGTTATGGAGTCCTCCCCTCCACGAGGGCTGAATGAGCTCCTCCAAACCTCTCTCTCTCTCTCTCAAAGCCTGGGGCTATGGCGGACCACCCCCTTGAGCCTCCACTACTCACAGTAGCTCCAATGGGAGGTTCGACTAACTTACAGTCTCCTCCAAGGCTACTAACTGGCAACGGTTTCCCTCCTCTCACTCCAAGTGAATAAAGTGCTACTATGAACTCACTTGGGCAGCATGGGCACTCCTCATGCAAATGTGAGTGTGACGGAGTGCTCCCTCAACTTATGTAGGCTGAAACTGATGAACCGGTCAGCCCATGTGCCTCCTCATGTGCCTCCAAGTGAACCGAGATACCCCCAAGGCCAAATTTCACCACTAGGCCTCTCCGAGGCCACCTGGGCTTTATTTTGGCCAAGTACATGTAGTCCGAGTGGTTGGTACCAACTCGGACTGCCTCTTGGCCTCTTCAAGCCTCTTTTCCTTTTCTCAAATGTTGCCCCCTTGAGTTCAAATGCCCAAGGGACAACCTCACTTGAAAGAACTTTTCGCTGTTCATATCCAATTTTGGGTAGGCCTATTCTGTCAGGGCAACCATTGGCTGCCACTACCAGCAATCACCGCGGGTCTGGTCCTTGGCCTCTACAACACCCTGACTTTTAAGAAAAAAAAAAGGAAAAAAAAAGGCCCTTTAGGTCGCCAAGAGACAAATATAGCCCCAATGTTCCCATTGCGCCTCATGTTCTCCAGTGTCCAGCTACAGTTTAACCGGCCTATTTTTGTCTGTTGTTGATCCGAGCCCCCTGCTAGGTCCGGGCTTCAGTGCCACAGAAAGAAGGGATTGCCACACCACTCTCCAATACACAAATAAATCGAGAAGCATCAGAGTAATCTAAGAGTGCAGTATTCGAGAATTCAAGGCTCTCGAGCAGAATGGGAGCCCAGCAGGGACCCAAGTGAGACTGGCACAGATAAAGACGGATCGGCCGGAGAGCCGTTGAAAATACCCGCCACGACAGACAATCACACAAAGGGGACACGAACACGTGCACAATGTGTTCCCGGACACACTTGCAATCTATAGCAACCACCACTGTATAGTAAACCCCCAGGAACCTCATAGGAACTGGAGTGCACCCCACCCAAAAAGCATATACATGCCTCTCGTCTCGGGGTGAACACGTTCTGGCCAACTCACGAATCGACCTCACACTGGTGTTGAAGGATTGATGGGCCTCGTTACGACAGTGGAAATCACAACGATTAGCCCATGTAAGTCCTTCGACCAAAGGATGATTATGCTGGGACTGTCATTCCATAATCACATCCAACGAGAACCTGGGTTCTACAGGTTCAACACTTCGTTGCTCCCCCTCCCCAAATTTAAAGAGCTTGTGACCACTTTCTGGTTATACTGGCAAACTCGGAAATCGGAGTTGGGTGAAAGAGTGAACTGGTTCAACGATGGGGTGACATAGCTAAGGGAAAGGGCTAAGAAGTTCTCTATCCAACATGCCAGGGACTGTAAAACTCTCCTTGACAAACCTATGCGGGACTTAGAAGAATGGGACGAAGAACTGATGAACGACCCGTTGCACCACTCCTCCTATGAGAGACTCCAAAAGGCCCGGGACCACCTCTAGGCCTACGTGGACCAGCAGACGCAGACATGGAAAATGCAAGCGAAAATAAAAAAGGAGCACACTGACGGAACGATGGCGAAGACCTTCTTCAATAAGGCTAAGGCTAGAGCAAGAGTTGCCACTGTTCCCAGGCTCAGACACCCGAGGACGACACAACCCCGTATGCGTCCAACGCTTACAAAATTGCGGACCACACCGCCAGATATTACACAAACCTCTTCAAATTTGAGACCCCCAATAAGCAGTTGGACCAGGTCCATCAAGCGAAGGACACACTGTTGTAGGCCATACACACGAGCCTCACACATGAGCAAAGGGGCATCATTGACAGCCCACTAACTCCACAAAAGGACTCCACGGCATGGAAGAGGAGAAGACACCTAAGGTAGACTCGTTCCCTAAGGAATTCTGAGTACAGTTCTGGGATCTACTCACAAGCGGTTATCGGGTAGCTGAAAATTCAGGAATGAAAATTTTGAAGTGAGACTTTTGAGCAGTCTGAAAATCCTAAATGATCTTGAAGTGGTGAAAGATCCGAAGACCCCGAAAACCACCTGTTTAGGCAGGTTGCTCTCTGAAGTGGTGAAGGGTGTCATGAAGTGGTCAAGTGAAAGTTTTTGGCAGTATGAAAATCCTGAATGGTCCTGAAGTGGTGAAAGGTCCGAAAACCATGAAAACCACTCTTCACCACTTGAGGATGCAGCCTGCCTAAACAGGTGGTTTTCAGGGTCTTCGGAGTTTTCACCACTTCAGGACCATTCATGATTTTCATACTTGAATGATCCTGAAGTGGTGAAAGGTCCGAAGACCCTCCCTTGTTTAGGCAGGCTGCATCCTGAAGTGGTGAAGGGTATCCTGAAGTGGTGATGAAAAATACGACTGTTGTTAACCTTCTCTCGATCTACTGAATGAGGATATTATGGAATATATTAAGGCGGTGCAGAACGAGGGCTCGTTTGACGGAATGATCGGACAAGGGGTAAAAACTCTCTTATGTAAGAAAGGGGATAAAGATAACATTAGAAACTACCGACCTACTACTCTCCTCCCCGTCCCGTATAAACTGGTAGCCA